TAATAAATAATATAATAATATATATAATAATAATAATAATAATAATAATAATAATAATAATAATAATAATAATAATAATAATAATAATAATAATAATACATATAATAATATAATAATAATAATAATAATAATAATAATAATATAATAATAATAATAATAGTAATAGTAATAGTAATAGTATAGTAATAGTAATAGTAGTATAATAGTAATAATATTAGTAATAATAGTAATAGTAATAATAATAAATAATAATAGTAATAATAGTAATAATAATATAATAGTAATAATAGTAATAATAAGAGTATTAGTAATAATAATAATGAATATTTATAATAATATTAAAATAGTAAATAATATTAATAATATAGTAATAATAGTAATAATAATAATAATAATAATAATAGTAATAATAATATATAATAATAGTAATAATAGTAATAATAATAATAATAATAATAATAGTAATAATAATAATAATAATAGTAATAATAATAATAATAATAGTAATAATATTATAATAATAATAATAATAATAATAATATTAATATAGTAATATAATAATAATAGTAGTAGTAGTAGTAGTAGTAGCAGGTAAGTTATAAGCTATAATATTTATGCTTTGTTCTGCTGTGGCACCAATAAGTTTCGAAGGAATTGATTATGTAAAATTGATTTAGACTAAAGTGAATTGAAGTTAAATGGTTATATTTGATGCATCAAAGTAAAGTGAGTTAGAGGTTTTATTGTTAAGATCACGTTTTAGACTCAAGAAGCAAATAATAGCTTTTAAGCAAAATCAATTCTTGAGGCAAAACAGTTCTATTTTACAGAAACCAAACACATTCAAATCAATATACACTTAGAATTACTTTTGCCTTTTCTTGAAGAATATGGTGTATTAATCACTTTTAGTGGCATTAATCTATTTTTGTGAGGTGTTCGCAAACAAACAGCTCTACCGATAGATTGAAAATCTAGCTATAGCTATAGTATTCATGTGAATAATTTGTAGTTAACTTCCACAAATAATACATGTGGAAAATAAAAGAGAGAGAATATTTTGTTCTGTGCATAATTTTTAAATAAGAAAGTAACAGAAAAAAATCAACATTCTTGAGATTGTGCGTGAGATGTTGATGTTTCTTCAGGCTTCTCTTGAAGTAAAGGTATAGTGCACACTTGATTCTCATTATCATCCTCAAATCTATCCACACTATGCACAAATATTCCTACAAGATATACAGACACATTAATCACTCATCTTCAGTAAATCAACAAGATTCCGTTTGTTCGAAAATTAAGACTTCTTGATGACGTACCGATAAACCATATTCCAGCCGTTGGAAACAATATGGTTGTTAGGATCAACGAAGTTGTTCTCCAGTTGTTAATACTATCCTGCATAACCATTATGTAGCAAAAGAATTTCCAAAACATTCATTCCTTGGAAGATATGGTGATATACATACTAAATAAAAACAGTACAAGACATGGCGAGTAATCCGTAAAAGACTGACCAGGAGAAGTCCGGCAAGAGGCGAGGAAGGCACATCTCCAAAGAGATGAATCGCAACGGTTAACATAGCCATTGATAGCGGCCTCAAACTTGGTTCAACACAATGGAGACTCACATAATTCACAGGACCCTGAAAAGAAAACCGCAACCAAACATCTAGAGTACACATTTCGACGAAAACTGAAGAGCTGCTAAAGATTCATTGATGGGGGGAAGTACCTGTGTGGCGAAAACAAAAAGTTCGCCAATAGACAAAAGAGCGAGAAAGCCATTCACATTTCTGCATAAGAAGGCACCAAAAAAGAATGCTGCACCGATAAGCGTTGTCACTGAGAGAAGCTGCAAAAGAATAGTGTTTATTATGCAGAGAAGTCAGAAGGAATATCTAGAACCCATCTCGAGTTTGAATGCTAACCTTAAATGCATTTGATAAGGTGTTACTGTTATTTAGAAAATCGAGAGCAAAGCCTCCAGCTAATGTGCCGACTATTCCACATACCATTGCAATTCCTCCAAATACTAAATCTGCATCGGTCTACCAAAACAAGATACATCAATAATGAATAAACATAATGTAAAGGCGTCGTTAGATGAAGCAAAATCTCACCATGTGGTAAATATTATAGGCAGCTCTGGGACCCCAATATGAGTATGCACCTAAGACGAAGTCGTACCCTATGTAACCTAAACATAGATATTAACTCAGAAAAGTTAAATAACGAGATGCGGTAAAATATGGTTGTTAAAAATAGAATATGCATAGGATAGTAAGATGTGAAGTTCCTTGAGAAGCAAGTTATCCAAACAGCATCTTTCTGAGACAAATTTATAGACAAAATATTACAAAAACAGTTGGTGCATGCAGTAGATTAGTTGAAGTGAGAAGTACCTAGAACATTGATAACATAAACCTTATTTAGCAGAAGCACTTTCATATCAATCCAAAATCTCCAGAACTCATCAAACATTTTTGCTGTAGATGAAGTGCTAAAATAAGAATCAATCAAAAGTTAGACAGTATAAGATACGAGAAATCAAAAACTGGAAAAAAAAGTTAGTTCAGAAGTATGTGTTCTAACTTGGATTTATCTTCTGGTACTTCTGCCTTTATCAAATCGGCGGGGACTAACCCTGATCCAAAAGTAGTTTACACGTCGAAAACAATAATAGGGGTTTATTATAAATCAATGCAAGAAATATGAGTGCACCTTTCAACTCTAAAGGCTTCATTAAAAATCCTGAAATAGCAAATGGAAGCATCAATATAGACTCTATCCAGAATGCGTAACGCCAACCAAAATGACTCCCGACCTGTAATTGAACACAAACGTTAAATAAAAAATATGTAAAATACTCAAGTTGATTCTTTAATAGCGGTATGAAAACTAGATAAAGACTTACCAAACCACCATAGATATAGCCAAGTGCATATCCCAATGGTATACACATGTAAAATACTGCGAGCCATGCTGTTTTCTGGCATACACATTACGAGTACGAGATAGAGATATATATTTACACCAGAAAGAAGAAAGAGCAACAATATTCTTTATGACAGTTTGATTATATAAACAAACCTGAGAAGCTGGGGCATTGTCATCAATAAAAGGTGCTGCTAGACTTACAAACGAAGCTTCGCCAACACCAACAAGCCTATACAGAATAATGAAAGCATAAAGAGAGGGAAACAAACCATTTACATGCGACAAAATCATGTAACTTAAGAAACAAGGAACCACTTACATGCGACAGACTGAAATGGACCAGAAGTTAAAAGAAAAACCACAAAATAAGGTTGCAAGAGTCCAAACTGATAATCCAACTCCTATAAGTCTAAATGGATTTACACTGCAAATATATGAATTACGATAAAGGGTTATTGTGGCAGTTAATGATATGATACCGATTACTAACGACGAAAAAGTTCAGAAGTTTTCGTTGTTAAATCGTTTTGAACGGTTACTCTAATTACCTTTTAGTTAGAGAAGCAAATATCGGAGAAGCCACCATAATTCCTACCAAAAAAGCAGATGATAAAACTCCATCTTGGAAATTGTTCAAGTTAAAGTCCCCCCTGCACACAAGGAAGGGAACAAATATAGTAAAAACCATTACATTGCCAAAATGGCTACACAACTCGAGCCATTTTGACGAGTGCTCGTAATAATACAACGAAAACTATGTTTTCTTTTGTCTTAACCCTCCGGTTTTCAAGGAAATGGAGCTTTGGTAAATACGGAATTCAACCGCGAGATAAGTGAAGTCTGATCAAGAATTATATATCTTACTGTATTCCTGTACCAGAAGTGCAAGTAACAGCACCTTCACTGCATGTTCCTTTACTACCATTAACACCATTGCTAGCTATTGCTCCTCGATCCAAATAAGTTAACAAGTTAATCACACAAAATACAGCAAGTAACCTACAAAAAAAATATAGCAAGAATGCGAAAAATGTTGAAACTTTACTTCCTTTGTCATTTAGTACTCAACAAGGATGTAAATATAAAATATACCAAAACTAGTAATACCTTTTGGGTGTAAACCATGAAGTTGTGGGAATGATGGTGGGTGATATTATGGATGGCTCCATGAACAAGGCTTTGGATTTTACTCGCAGAGTTGCAAGTAGTAGTTCATCATGTATCACCTAAATATTTGACAGTATCTTCTATAAAATTTAAAGTAGTTGAGTTGAATGGTAGTTACACCTTATTCAATTTTGTTTTTTCTAAAAAAAACTTCAAAATAGCCATGTCCAATTAATTCGTCGCGTCATAATCTATAATAGTAGTAGAGAACTAAAATGTGAAGTAAAAATAATCAAGGATTGTTACTTTAATTAACTCAGAATTTATCTTTCATTTATTAATCTATAAATTATTTAGTTTAGAGTAGATAATGCATATCAAATATGTTACTTTGTTAAAATCCCATGTCAGTCTCCATCTCAATAGCACTGACACACTTCAGATAATGAAGTTTCTGCAAATCTTCCTCCTTTCCACAGCAAAATCTTAGTAACTTGAGGCCAGAAATTCAATATATTGAATCTGCTTATACTCAAGAGAAGCGCCCTTTCTTCACGTTCAATTTCACTGATTTTCTCATCGTTAACTCTTTCACCAAAACACATAGAAACAAGTAAACAGAACATGGCGTAACGTAAGTGAGGAACAACTGTAAAGGATTCCAACTCCGAAGCAGTTTTGAGACAGTTGATGAGAGTGTCCAGGACCCAGTTCCGGATGTTTGAGAAAGATTTGATTTTAGACGGATGAAGCATCTCGGAAGCAAGGTTACGACGAAGGGTCCTCCATGTGTCACCGTAAGAAGCGGAACTAGTTTGCTGGTGGGAAGTGGTTTAGGACGATCAGAGAAGATTGATGAGTTATGAATGAGAGCGTAGTGAGCAAGAGAACGGTCGGGGCGATCCGATTCTGAGAGCGATGATAGGACCGAATTGTTAAGATTAATATTTTGATATTTATTTTAATTAAATTAAGTATTGCAGCACATTAGAATGTGTCACCTTATTGTTAGCTATTTTATTGTTTTAGTCAAAGTCAGTATTTAGATTTTAGGAAGGAATAAACTGCTCCACATATAATGGGCAGTTAGGGAGATCGTGTGATATTGTGTAAGCCTATTTATTGGCTTTTTCTTATTTAATTAAGTAAGTTTTCCAGCATTTGATTCTAACATCTGGTATCAGAGCAGAAAATTTCACAAGAATCAAGAGAGAAAGAGCAGATGACGTCCGAAGGCGGCGATCGTTTTAATCTACCGTCAATTCCTAAATTTGATGGTGATTATGATCACTGGAGCATGCTCATGGAGAACCTTCTCCGTTCGAAGGAGTATTGGATTGTTGTGACCCGCTGCAGGAGAAGTGCCGACGGCTGCACAGAGAAAGACGGCGGAAGAGATGCAGTTGAAGGACCTGAAAGCCAAGAATTACTTGTTTCAATCTCTTGACAAGTCAATTCTGAAGACAATCCCAAAGAAGGAAACATCGAAACAAATCTGGGATTCAATGAAGATGAAATACCAGGGCAATGTTCGAGCTCAGCGAGCCCAACTCAATCGATTGCGCAGAGAGTTTGAGATCCTTGCCATGAAGCAAGGAGAATCAATCAATGATTACTTCGGTAGGGTAATGGTGATTGCAAATGATATGAGGAATTGTGGTGAAGATATGACTGATGTCAAGGTCGTCGAGAAGATTTTGAGAACCCTCACTGAAAAGTGGAACTATATTGTGTGTTCCATTGAGGAAGCCAAAGATATGGACACACTTACTGTCGACGAGTTGCAAAGCTCCCTTCTTGTGCACGAGCAAAAATTCAAGAAGGAAGTAGATGAAGAGCAAGCACTCACGGTGGCATACGGTGAGAACAATGGTGGAAGAGGACGAGGCAGCTGCGGAGCTTTCAGAGGAGGAAGGGGCAGAGGAGGCAGAGGCCGACAACTCTATAGCAAGGCAACCATTGAATGTTATAAGTGCCATCAGTTGGGTCACTTTCAGTATGAGTGTCCAAATATGGCTAAGCAAGCAAATTACACTGAAATTGAAGAAATTGAGGAGATGTTGCTCATGGCTTATCATGAATCATTTGGGCAAAGCAAAACTGATGTGTGGTTTCTAGATTCAGGATGCAGTAATCACATGTGTGGAGACCCGTCATTATTTAATCGGTTGGAAGATGGATTTCAAAGAACAGTGCGGTTGGGGAATCATATGCAGTTAAATGTGGTTGGTAAAGGTGCTGTCAGGCTATACTTTGGAGGCATTAGCTATCTTGTTCAGGATGTCTTCTATGTTCCAGAACTAAGGAATAATCTTCTTAGCCTTGGACAGCTGCAAGAAAAAGGATTAACAGTGGTGATGAAGGATAATAAATGTTGCATTTATCACTCAATAAAGAGTCTCATCCTTCAGAGCAACATGACCTCCAACTGTATGTTCGTTGTGCTCTCTGATAAGTATTCTGACAAGGACACAAAAGAAGTTTGTCTGCAGTCCACAACCCAAGATTCGGTACAGCTTTGGCATCGGAGGTTTGGCCATCTCGATTACACAGGATTGCGCATGTTGAAGGACAAAGAGATGGTGAAAGGGATGCCGTGTCTTCTCGGACCTGATTCCATTTGCACAGATTGTCTAAAAGGAAAACAACATAGAGAAAATATTCCAAAAAAAAGCATATGGCGTGCTTCAACTAAGTTGGAATTAATCCATGCTGACATCTGCGGACCCATTTCACCAGCTTCAAATGGCCAAAAGAGGTATTTGTTTTGTTTCATTGATGACTTTAGTAGGAAAGCATGGGTCTATTTCCTTGCATATAAAGCTGATGCATTTGCTGCCTTTAAGCAATTTAAGAGTAGTGTTGAAAAAGAGTCTAGTTTATCTATTAAGTGCTTAAGAATAGATCGGGGAGGAGAATTTACATCAAGTGCTTTCAATGATTACTGTAAAGATAATGGAATCAAGAGACAACTAACCACAACTTACACGCCACAACAAAACGGAGTAGCCGAGAGGAAGAACAGAACAATGACGAACATGGTAAGAAGTATGATGGTTGATATTCCTAAGAGTTTTTGGCCTGAAGCTGCGAGTTGGGCGTTCTACGTGCTTAACAGAAGTCCAACTTCTTCTGTGAAGGACATGACACCTATGGAAGCTTGGAGTGGGATAAAGCCATTTGTAGATCATTTTAGGGTGTTTGGTTGTATAGGACATGTACATATGCCTGACGCCAAACGCACTAAACTAGAGAATAAGAGCAAAAGTTGTGTACTGTTTGGGGTTAGTTCATAATCAAAAGGCTACAGACTATTCGATCCCATAAGCAAGAAAGTCATTGTTAATCAGGATGTTGTGTTTGAAGAAGAGAAAAAATGGAGCTGGGATAAGAGCTATGACAGCTTGATAAGCCTTGATCTAGACTGGGGAGATGACATAAATGAAGGAGAAATTGAGACTCAAGATGTTACCAATGAAGATTATGATGTTATTATAGAAACTGTCACTGAAAAAGATAAAGCAATCATAGATGAAGAGGGAAGTGATAGAGAAAACACTATGGCAGCGGCTGCGTCATCTCCTGAAGCCTCAAATACAAGGGAAGGAGATTGTGTCAGAAGGACAAGTCGTATCAGAAGGAGACCAGTGTGGATGAGAGACTATAATGTCAATAATGAAGCTGAAATTACCGTCAATGATGAAGCTGAAACTGCTGAAGAAAGTCAAGATCACACTTCACATTTAGCCTTATTCATAGAATGTGATCCTATTAGCTATGAAGAAGCTGCTAAGAGCCAAGAATGGAGAAATGTTATGAATTCATAAATTCAATCCATTGAGAAGAATGAAACATGGTTTCTCACTAATCTACCAGAGGGAGCCAAAATTATAGGAGTAAAATGGGTTTATAAGACTAAATTAAATCAATATGGAGAAGTTGAAAATTACAAAGCTCGGCTAGTTGCAAAAGGATATGCTGAAGAACACAAAATTGATTATGAGGAAGTATATGCACCAGTCGCTCGGATGGATACTGTGAGGATGATTTTAGCATTAGCAGCTCAGAAAAGTTGGATAATCTATCAGTTAGATGTAAAGTCAGCTTTCTTGCAAGGAGAACTCTCCGAAGAAGTGTACGTAGACCAGCCAAGAAGGTATGAAATCAAGGGTGCTGAAAGAAAAGTGTACAAGCTTCGTAAGGCCCTATATGGATTGAAGCAGGAACCACGTGCATGGTTCAGCAGGATAAATACTTACTTTCAGAAGATGGGATTTGTAAAGGATGTCAGCGAGCAAACACTCTTCACAAAATTCAACACACAAGGTAAATGCCTAATTATTAGCTTGTATGTTGATGATTTAATCTACACTGGTAATGATCAAACTATGATGAATGAGTTTAAAGAATCCATGATGAAAGAGTTCAAAATGACTGATTTGGGAAGAATGAAATACTTCCTGGGAATTGAGGTGTTGCATCTTGATAATGGAATTTTCACGTGTCAAAGAAAGTATGTGAAAGAGTTACTAACAAAATTCAGAATGGAGGAAAGCAACTCTGTCTTAAATCCTTTTGTCCCGGGGTTTAAGATTCACAAAGATGAAGAAGGTGTGAAGGTAAATATCACACTCTATAAGCAGCTTGTGCGAAGTATGATGTATGTGACAGCCACTCGGCCAGATGTAATGTATGCTGTTAGTCTGATTAGCAGATACATGTCTATGCCAACTGAACTTCACTTTGCAGCAGCCAAAAGAATTTTAAGGTATTTGCAAGGGACTATTGAATATGGGCTCTTTTATAGGAAAGAAGGAAACAAAGAGCTAGTAGGATTCACCAACAGTGATTACGCTGGATGTGTGGAGGATATAAAAAGTACATTCGGGTATACCTTCATTCTTAGTGATGCAGCAGTGGCATGGTCCTCCAAGAAACAACCAATTGTTACTCTAAGTACAACTGAAGCATAATTTGTGGCGGCAGCAGCTTGCTCTTGTCAGTTAATATGGATGAAAAGAGTGTTGGGCAAAATTGGCTACGAAGGAAGCAGCAACCCTGTTATTTTCTGTGATAACAACTCAACAATCAAGCTATCAAAAAATCCGGTGATGCACGGCAAAAGAAAACACATCGATGTAAGGTTCCACTTCCTACGTGAGCTGGTGAATGAATGAGCTGTTAAGTTAAAGTTTTGTAGCACGCAGCAGCAGGTTGCAGATATATTTACTAAGCCACTCGACACAAGAACCTTCCAGGGACTTAGAAAGAAGCTAGGAGTATGTGATGCACCAAAGTTAAACTGAATTGGACGGTTCAGTTTAGGAGGAGATGTTAAGATTAATATTTTGATATTTATTTTAATTAAATTAAGTATTGCAGCACATTAGAATGTGTCAGCTTATTGTTAGCTATTTTATTGTTTCAGTCAAAGTCAGTACCTAGATTTTAGGAAGGAATAAACTACTTCACATATAATGGGCAGTTTGGGAGATCGTGTGATATTGTGTAAGTCTATTTATTGGCTTTTTCTTATTTAATTAAGTAAGTTTTTCAGTATTTGATTCTAACACGTATTTGGCGTGGAGGGTCTTAAGAAAAGGTTCGAGTCGGGCGATGGATTTTCGGAGCCATAGAATGCTTGAGACGATGGGGATGTGGAGTGGACCGGGAGGGAGGGTGGCGGTTTTGGAGGTGGTGATGAGGGTGGAGACGGTGGCTTTGATGAGAAAGATGATGAAGAGTGATAGTAGTG